AGCACAATGTATCCGCATTCACTACTCATCCTCCCAGATGGTATTGTAACTTGTAATTATAAGCACTTAGTATTACAACCCATTGCTGAATGCTACGTGAAGCTATGGCTGGCACTGCCTTGCCCTGTTTAGGCAGACCAAGTAGATGTTTATGGTCTGTGATTATCATAAATTTTTGCCCATATGTAACAGTCTTGTTGACTCTGTAGCCCATGTAAGTCACTTGGGGGCCTGAAACATACATTTTTCCCTTCTTAGGCATACACCTGCCTTGGAAAAAAAACCTTAGGATTATATCCAAGTTTTCCTGATTAGTTTTTCCTGTTTTTGGATGTCATCTATGCCAATGGTGACCTGAGGTAGACCTTGAAAAATGTTTTGCATTGTCAACTGAAAGATTGAACAGGCTGATGATACTCCACTGGAAATCTCGTATATTGGCATAAGCCTTTATGGGTAATTATTGTTGCATTAGTCTGAGAATTTTGGTCTAAATGCAATTGCAAGTAAGTGTGGCTCAAGTCTAGCTACGTGAAGGACAGCACCCCTTACCTGCTTGGCATATAAATCCCCTTTCCGAGGTATTGGGTGTTTGTCCAATTGTGAAAAATGGTTTACCGTTTGTTTAAAATTGACACAAAGGCGAACTGATCCATTGGGCTTCAAGATCAATAAAATTGGTGCTTCCCGTTCTGTGAATTGGACTGGTTTGATGATCCCTTGATTGTCTAGCCTCTTGATTTCTGCCTCTACTTTTGTCGGTAAGGCAAATGGCACTGGGCAGGCCTTGCAGAATTGTGGAATTACTTCCTGGTCAATATGCAAGGTGGCCTTGGCTCCTCTGATTGTCCCGAGACATTCCTGGAAGACTTCTGTGTATTAAATTAAGATTTCACTCAAGCAGTCATTTTCTAATTGAAGAATATCGTGCTAATCTAGGTGAATCTCTCGCAACCAATTTTGCCCCATCAGCTTGGGCCTGACCCTTTTCCACAATCACTGTAAACTGAACCAGCTGCTTTTCATAAGAGGTCAAAACTGAGTTGTACCCTAAATCTGTAAAAGTTCCCCAGTATTGGTTCTCTGCCTAGCTGAGGTCTTGTGCAAAGGGTTGGAGCCCAGAGCAAATTTTATTAAAAACTGATTCTGTGATCACTGACATGGCCATGATGGTAATGATCATGTAACCAGACTTTTAATTTGATTGGTTCTGATTTTGATGTTGTTAAGCAGTTTAACTGTTCTAAACCAGATATAAGTGGACTTTCCAGGGTATGAACTTGTCTGGATATCCTCTTGGATACTGGCTTATGAGTTATCTAACTCAATTTAGGTCTAGTAGGACACGTTTGCTGTCTCAAGTCCACATACTGGCAGCAACTAAAATTGCTTGCTGGCCAGGATCCTGAAGAAAATTTTAACCATTTCGTCGAGGCTTCGCTTCGTTTTGGAGTTTTGTTGTGAGCCGACTTCGAGGTCCTCTGGTCAGGTTATGTCATGAGTGATGATACGCAATTGCCTTCAGCTGTCCGGGTCATTGATGGCAATAACAGTATTTATATCTCCCTGACACTACCATTCCTATCATAGAGTCATAGAGTCATACAGCACGGAAACAGACCCTTCATTCCAACCAGTCCATGGCAAACATAATCCCAAACTAAATTAGTCCCACTTGCCTGCTCCTGGCCCATGTCCCTTCAAATCTTTTCTATTCATGTACTTATCTACAAGTCTTTTAAACGTTGTAATTGTACCCACAGCCACCACTTCCTCAGGAAGTTCATTTCACGTGTGAACCACCCTCTGTGGAAAAAAATTGCCCTCCATGTCTTTTTTAAATTTCTCTCCTCTCACCTTAAAAAGGTACCCTTAACCTGGAAATCCCCCATCCTAGAGAAAAGACAACACTATTAACCCTATCTGTATCCCTCATTACTTTATAAACTTCTATAAGGTCGCCTCTCAAGCTCCCGTGCTCCAGTGAAAAAGGTCCCAGCCTATCCAGCCTTTCTTTATAAGTCAAACCTTCTATACCTGGCAGCGTCCTGTTAAATCTCTTCTGAACCTTCTCTGGCTTAAAAATATCCTTCTGGGTGACCAGAACATTCCTTTTCAATCTGCTGAGCTACCACCACACCCATCTACTCCCATCCCTACAACCTGACCTGAATGGCTTCTTGTGTATGGTGCAATAGTCAGTTTGCCAATTCATACAAGGAGCAAATGAGTTAAGGTTCCTCTATCCCTATGTCTGGAATTCCCATATCATGCTAATGCAGTGAAGCCCTCCTTTTCCTGACCATTAAACACTCTAAAGTTATACTTAATGTAAGCAGTACAATAATCTCCAAGGACAAAGAGTATTTCCTAATGTTGACATAAAAGGACAGCTCCATTCCATCCATCATCCAATGATCTGGCAGAAAGATCAATCCAAACTTTGAAGGCAGCCTTAAAGAAACAGCCTACTTGATACCAAACTGTCCCATTTCTTATTTGATTGTAGGCCACCCCTTATGCACCTACAGGGATAGCTCCAGCAAAGTTGCTCATTGGGCAAAGGCTCTGCACCAGGTTAAATCTGATCTTCCTGGACCTGGAGGTGAGGGTGAACTGGCATCAGAAACACCAATGCTGCACAAAAGACTCCAATTAGTGAGAGACAGTTTACTTCAGGGGATGAAGTTTAATGTAGGAACCTCAGGAATGGCCCTACATGTGTAAGAGGCATGGATGATGTGACGTCAGGCTCAGTGATGTATAAAGGTTTTGCAGGTGTGCCGGTCCTGAACAAGCGTGTAGACCATAGGAAAGCTGCAAACTTACAAATAGTATTGGAGCAAAACATGCCTGGCTTCTTGACTGCCTTCCTGACTGTCCTGGAACCAGTGAGTTCTTCATCTCAGTCAAGTGTAGAAGAAACCTTAGAATCTGAGATGGACATGGTGGTGCCCTAGACCCCTTTGGTGCCAGAAGAGGAGAATGAATGTCTTCCAAGATGCTCTGGGTGCAAGAAGTGACCTACTGTGGGTTACACACTGCCTGTATCAGAGGCAGAGTTGGAGGAACCTGACCCAAGTGCTAAAGTGCCTAGGAGGAGCTGCAAAAAAAACCCATCCTGGTCCTTGGACTCAGCAGAGGAGGGATGTAGTGATTATAACATGGTCAGCCAGGTGGGCCACATAAAATATGAGTTCCCTGATTGTGGCTGTTAATCTGGTCCTATCAGGGAGCCCTGGCTGACAGGTATAAACAGGAGTGTCAGAGGTTCTCTTCATTCTGAGATTTGGCTCTGAGGAAGTTGGATCAGTGTTAAGGACTTCCTATGTGTAAATAAATGGTGACCTGGCGATGGGATACTGGCCTCTGTGGAGTTATTTCAGTTTCCCTTAGTCGAAGGGTCAATAGCAAGGGGCACAATTTTAAAGTGAAAAGCAGGAGGTTTAGAGGAAAAATGTTTTTCACCCAGAGGATAGTGGTGTTCTGGAATGCACCACCTCAGAGGGTAGTTTCATAGAATCCCTACAGTGTGGAAACAGGCCCTTTGGCCTAACAAGTCCACACTGACACAAAGAACATCCCCCTAATCCACACATCCCTGCACACTACAGGCAATTTAGCATGGCCAATCAACCTAACCTGCACATCTTTGGACTGTGGGAGGAAACCCACACAAACATGGGGAGAACATGCAAACACCACACAGACAGTCACCTGAGGGTGGGATCGAACCCAGGTCCCTGGTGCTGTGAGGCACCAGTGCTAACCACTGTGCTGCCATACCACCCTAGTTGAGGCAAGAAACTTCATCATCTTTATAAAGTAAGGTAGCTTTGGATGAGCACTTAATGAGTCAAGGCTATGGGCCTAATGTGGAAAAGTGGGACTAATATAGGTAGTAGAGATA